ATGTGTTGTGAGTTTATGTATTTTGGTTTTATGTATATTTTACATGCTTTTTTATTTGATTTTATGTACAGCACTTTGGTAATCCATTGTGATTTGTGAAAGTGCTATAGAAATTAAGTGAGTTGAGTTGAGTTAAGTTCGTCTTAAAGAAACCCCCCTCCTCCTCTTCTTCCACCGTTATTCAGAATAGGTGGCTCGGTGGCCCAGCGAGCCACCAGGAATTCCAATGGCTCTGACTCCTTGCTGGAGCATCTGGCGTTTCTGTGCAGAGCTGGTTCTCCCTGTTACCGTGTGGGTTTCTCCTGGGTTCCCCGGTTTCCTCTCAAAGCTTAAATACGCTCTACATTATAGACCACTTAAACCTAAGTCTCTTTTACTAGACGTCTTACTCTCAGGAAGTTCACCTTTGCCTTTGCTGCGGGGGAGTTTTGAGATCGCCCTGAGCTCTATCTCCCCTCGCCCTGCAACGGGAGGGAGTCCTGGACTCGAGGATCCCTTGAGCTCAGGGCTCTCTCCTGGAACAGCATGCCAACTAAGCTTTTGTAAGTCAGGAGTTAAGTGTGAACTCTTGAATAAATGTTAAACTATGATTAATAAATACAGTACATGTACATGTACAGTATTGATCATACCTAGTTCATGTTAGTAAATACATTAACAACTGAAACCTTATTGTAAAGTGTGACCGCTTTACTTTTCAAAGCACTAAAAAGTCTTACAGGAACGACGTGACGCATAGATTGATTGCTTTACTGATTGATTGAGTGACGCCAAGTCAAATCTGCGATATTGTGCATCTACAGTAGCACTGAGATATTGCTGCTGCTTGTTCAGAGATATGGGAGTCATTCATCATCCGGCGCTCATGTGGACAGCAGGTGATTGATCACAGTAATACTCTGTCTCTAGGTGATTCAGGCTTCATTCCCTTGGAAAGTCACACTTCAGTAACCTATTAAGTAGGCTCGCATTGCATTAGACATGCAGTACACATATCTTGCGGTCTTTAAGTGTGGTTTAAGGGCGAGTTTGTGTGTCTCAGTCCATCTTTCCGTCTATATTATTTGCGATGCTGCTTTGCACCGCCAGGTGGCGCTTTAGATCGCTGAAATATCTACTACTCTAATCGCACACCCTATTGCCTAGTGATGAAAACAACTGTTTGTAATGCTGTCGTGCCTATAGATTTAGAGTTAAACCACTCCCATAAAAACAAGCGCATTACAGTAAAACGCTGTTAGACTTTTCATGAAACCCTTAATAAAGTTAAAGTTAGAATCATTAGATTTGTTTTTTATTTTTCAGATTCCCCAAATGATGTTTAACAGAGCAAGAAAATTTTCACAGTACTTCCTAAAATATTTTGTCTTCTGGAGAAAGTCTTATTTGTTTTATTTTGGCTAGAATAAAAGCCATTTTTTTAAACCCTTTTAAGGTCAACCTAATATTTTAGGTGTGACTTTTTAACATTCTGTAAGGGGTCTACAGATGAAAAATAGCCATTCTTGGCTAATTCTGGCACATTTTACAGTAATGTTTATTAATGTGCATTGACCCTGTAAACAAATAAACTAAACTAAACTAAACGGTGCGATGCAGTGGCTCAGCACTCACATCAAGTCCCGGCCGGGCCAGTTGGCATTTCTGTGTGGAGTTTGCATGTTTTTATTTTTTATTTTCTTTATTTGCAGAAGAATACAAATGTATGTATATATATATATATATATATATATATATAAAGCCAAAATGTGCAGGAAGAGGCAAAAAGCCCAAAATGCTTATTTAGAGCCTCTACCTAAATTATAATAACAAAAACAATTCCATTCAACAAATCGACACCTTATTATAAGGTTCTATCTGACGTTTTTGTCAAAATTGAGTATTAAAATAGTATTAAATTACAACTTATTTACATTATGGGATGTTTTTAATAAGTTATTTACATTTTAAGACCTTTTATTTAAATAAACAAATGTTACAAACATACTGTTTGCTATATGGAATGCAAAAACTTTGAAGCTCAATATCTTTAAATCATTCAGAACGCAGAAAGAACCTTATAATTCCAAAGGGACGAAATGCTAAATTCCAATTCCAAGTGAGTAATAATACACACAGATAGCATTACAAAATCACATACACACAACCATAATTAGAAATCATACAATACAATAAAATTCTTGCAAAATTACAAAACAACAATAAAGTGATTTCTTATGCATCTCTTAAAACCTGTTAGAGGAAAAAAAAATGTTATATGGGATCAATCATTTTATAATGTAATACCCCTAAATCTAATCGAGTATTGTGCTGTACTTGTATAACCTTTGGGAAAATGAAAACTTGAAAACTGACAAGTAAAATAACAATGAACCTGTCAATTTACTTCTGAAATGATCTGTCATGTTGCCTTCATTTGAATTGAAAAATTTTAATATCATATATGGAAAGAAGATGGAGTTTCTGAAATGAAATAGTGACAGGAGTAAATGAATTTGAGTTGCAATTCCTACAAAATGCTTTTGAAGAAAAAAAAATTGAAAAGTAGTAGAGAAAGTACATGCTCAAATTATATTGCAATACTGTCTCCTTGTGTTAGCGTGGGTTTCCTCCGGGTGCTCCAGTTTCCCCCACAGTCTAAAGACATAGGCTATAGAATTGGATGAACTAAACTGGTCATAGTGTATGAGTGTGAGTATTAATGAGAGTGTATGGGTGTTTCCCAGTAGCTGGAAAGGCATCCGCTTTGTAAAACATATGCCAGAATAGTTGGTGGTTCATTATGCTGTGGCCACTTCTGAAATAAAGACTAGCAAAATAAAAATGAATGAATATACTGGCAAGCTAATAATTCTGATTTCAACTGCATGTAAACATCCGGTCCAAACGCAAAAACCATTTTAAAAATTCCAAATCACAAAAAATGTTTCCATCAGCCTTTAATTTTGTATTAACGTTGATATTAAGCAGCTGAACTCCATGCTTATATCTGGCAACAAAGTTTCACTACTAGCAAAGTCTGTGCCAACTTGTGTTCTGCGCCTGGCTTCCGTTTTACACTGCTAAACTCTGAATGACCAGCAGGACTTAGAGGCAAAACTTTGGACCAGGCAGAACAAAGAAACTAAAGCATGTCTGTGCTAAATAAGGAAGGTTTCCACATAATCGCTGATGTTATGCAAGGCAGTGAAAGGCTCTTGGCTGTTTGCAAAAGTTCGCCTCTGAGCCCAAGTTTCTGTCCAGCAGGAAACAAACCTGAAGCAAGTCTGCTCTTGCCCTTCCGCTCAAAATACTTTACTCTGTTGTGGCATTGCTACAGGCAAGGAAAACCTGTTCGACATACCAATGCTCTAAAGAGTTCTCTGAAGTAAAAGTAATCTGCTTTAGTGATGTTGTTGACCCAAAAAGTGGACACTTTATACGTTCAGGATGTCGGACGTCAATGCACATGAGAAATACTATAGATAACAATGTTTACTGCACTTAGGCTTCTGAATATTTATAAGTAAATAATTGTGTTTTTTTTTTTTTTTTGCTAAAAATACTAAAATATTTACTGAAATTGTTAAATGTCATTTAAAACTATAATATTATATGATGTATTATATAAATATTATAGGCCTACGCAGAGAGTAAATTAAAATATTAAAGTATTAACTAGCTTTTAATCTCAAGAATGTTGGTGAAGTATTGTTCTGTGTAATTATTAAATTACAGACTTATTGTACGTGGACTTACTGTATTATGTAAAAGAATATATGATCATACTGAATTTGATCATACATTACATTGATTGCTGATTATTGTCAAAGTGGTGGTGAAGTATAAATATTTAAAATGATTAGTATTTTGGTTCTTCGTCTCAAATAGAGTATTTTGATAAGTAAATGGCATCAAATGATATTTGTTTTAATTATGGCAGATCAGTTTTATTTATTTAGTTATTATATAAACTAACATATGGGACAAAAACAAGCAAAAATAACATATAAATTCTACTGCTATTATATAAATATTATAAATTCTATTATCAATTATATCAAAATAATAATAATAAATAAATAAAGCTTTTGTTTATGTGTTTGCATATTATGCATATTTATTTTGTTATATCTAATACTATATATATATATATATATATAATTTTATTTAGTATTTTTTGAGTACACTGTGTATACATTATGCAAATACAGAATTTTATTTATATTTTTAATTGCAATTAACCAATTTTTTACAGTGCTAAAATTCACGTTTTCTATTGATACGTTAATTACAAGTATTTATTGTATGACTGCTTAATGCATATGTGCAATATGCACACATATGTTGCAGAAAATGTTAATTGCGCGATTTAATACTGCAGCCTGTGTCCAGTCATATTTGCGCAATATAAGCAGTTTCACATTTCCACTGTGACATTAGGTTATATTTGAACTCGCATAAGCCCGTGTTACACTCATGACTGATCGGATTATGATTCTGTTGACATGCGTAATTACGCATGGTAATGAATGTACTACGCACGGGCGGGGCGGGGTCGCCTCCAGCTGCGGTGGTCCAAGGCGCTGATGCTGATGGATCCGGCTTGACAGAACAAGGTTATCCGCCAGGAGAGAGTCCGTCCATTTTCTTCAGCATTAGCAGCAGCAGATCCCCGCCCGCCCGCTCGCGCCACGGAGCGCGTCCCCGGGACTCCACGCACGGCAGAGGCGCAGGACGAGCACAGGTTGCCGCGCCCAACATAACGCGGGATGCGACCGACTCCTGCAGCTGGCTGGGATGCAGTGCGCTTCAGAAGCACAAACGCAACTAGCGCTTTCATGTAATGTCGCGTGCATGTGAAAATAAGGCACTTTAAGGACGAGGAACGCAAAGAGAGAATCTAGCCGAGGAGGGTTTGCATCCGTGTGGATGTGTAACAGGAAAAGTCGACTGCATGGATTTAATTAGCTCCCACTGATCGTTCACGTGCGAACTTTTCCCCTCCGACAATGTGAAAGAATATCCCGCATTCGAGTGTTATAGAGTGCACACGGACCCGTTGAAGATGCAGATGCTGCTTTTGAGGACGATCTTTTTCGTTGCGGGATGCCCACATGTTTTGCTGCGCGGGGGAAACCGTAACGCACACACCAAAGAGACGGCCAACGTTACTCTTAGGAGCCTTCACGATGCAAAAGCCAGCGCCACACACCCTGCGAGGCATCAAGCCGCGGGTACACCTGCCTTTGACACTATCAGACAGACTTCAGGAGACAACAGCAACTTGTCTTCGCATCTCTGGCTGCTTCTGGAGAGCAAACAGTATGGATACAGACATCTGCTGTCCAACAGAACACACGCGGTCACGGTGAGTGGCTCGAACCCACAGAAGCGCTTGCGGCGGCATAAAAGGAAAAAGTTGAATGGTGAGATGCCCGCTACCATGGGAACAGTCGCTGGACACAATAACTCTAAGCCGTATTCAATGAGCAAGCGAGAGAGAAACCACAGACGCAAAAGAGGCACAAAGGAGCACCACAAGAAAACCTTCAAGAGCTCGAAAAGGGGCCCGAATAAAAGCGCTCCCCCGCTGACACCAGTCGAAACTTATTATAACGCCCTGACATCCTCTTTAACCATGTGGGAACCGCTTCCCAAACCCCAAGCTCTCACCTCCACCGACTTCCCATTCGATCTCACTGAATTCCACACCAAACCCTTAGACGACCCATGGGACGCCACACCAATGACCCCTCCGTATGCTGAGGATGAGGAGAGCATCTTCTTCCCCAATCCTTTCTACCCGGTCACAAGCGAAACATACGGGGCGTATGCAATCACCATCATCTCCGTGCTTATTTTTGCGGTGGGAATAACCGGGAACATAGCAATAATGTGTGTTGTGTGCCATAACTACTACATGAGGAGTATCTCCAATGCTCTTCTGGCCAACCTCGCCATCTGGGACTTTGCACTGCTCTTGTTTTGCCTGCCCCTCGTGGTGTTTCACCAACTCACAAAGACTTGGCTGCTGGGCCAGTTCACCTGTAAAGTCGTACCATATATCGAGGTAAAGGAATCCATATTCACTCATATCAGGGTTTAATGTTTGTGTTGCAAGCATCAATACTTTTTAAACATCTTTAAGCATATAAAAGTTCTCTTGTGGGATGCATAGAGTTTAATAAACATAATATATTATTAAATATATTATTAACTATTTATTGTTTATAATTTCTACATATAAAATTATATGCATTTGAATTCGGTTTTAACATAGACTAATGCATACAATAAATCCGGTAGGAAACAGGTGGCATGTCTGCACTCTTAAAATAAATAAATAATACTATTTACATAATGCATTTATTCAAATAGCTTAAAATCAGCATGACAGATCAGTCCACTTATAGATTTATGAATGCCTAATTACAAGATATATCTATTCATGTTGTGTACAATTGCACAACATAAATTAAAAATGCATCACAAATGGATAAGAAACAGGAACATTATATCAGAGCATTCTTCAAAATATCTTCTTTTCTAGTTCTACTATTTCATGCACTAATGCATTCAGGAGAATTTGCGTTTCTTGCACTGAAGGGTGAGGTATCGAAACCATGGCATGGTGGGTAATTCTGTCTCTTTTGGAGAGCCGTCAGTGCTCCCTGCATGCAAAAGAGCATCCACCCTGCCCTCAGGACACCTGCACTGGCAGTCTGCTCTGACCTCTGTCCCACTGCCGTCACATACTGTACGGTGCAACCATAACCGTTCACTTGACATGAAATCTGCAGGCACCCCGCTGCCATCCACCACACCCAGTTTCAGCAGAGCTCACTTTACAACCAAACACTGCGCCGCTTTAGTGTCAGAGTAATCGTGGATGGAAATCTTGTCCTGTTGCATCTCACACAAACACATATGCAGATCACATTTCATGACAAAAACTAAAAAAGTTATGCTTTGAGGATTTGTTTTTCTTTTTTTTTGTTGTTGTTGCATTGCCTTGCAGCATTATTTTCATGACTATTAGACACTCACCACAAAAACGTTCATAATTATAATGTTATGCATTTGCATAAACCAAACATCACTCTCCTTTAGTGTCCCCCACCCTCCAAAACAAAAAACTAAAAACAAAAAATCAACAGGAATGCATTAGGAAAAATGCCTGAACCTGATTGAATTGTATTTTTCTGAATTGTTTTCATGAAAATTAGGGATTGACTACAGACATTTACATTATTACAATGTTATTAATTTGCAACAATCAAACATCGCCATTATATGGTACAGATATATCCAGATTACATTTCCCTCAGAAAATCAACAAGACAAGATGTGTTTGCATTTAGAAAAATGCATAAAGCCTGCTTTAATTGTATTTAATTAAATGTTTTTTTTTGCTTTATTGCATTGCTTTGCAACATTATTTGCATGGCAATTAGGCATTGACCATACAAATTTGAATATTACAATGTTATGCATTTGCAACAACGAAACATCACCCTTCTTTAGTGTCAGAATATATCCAGATCACAAGAGATGAAGCATATGCATTAAGAAAAATGCCTAAAAGCCTGATTTAATTGTGTTTTTCTGTATTACAGTGCTTTGTAGCATTATTTTCACGACAATTAGGGATTAACTACAGACATTTTTTTAATAATTACAACGTTATGCATTTGCAACAACTAAACTGTCCAAATATATCCAGATCACCCCTAAAAAAATAATAATAATAAAATAAAAATAAAATATCGATAAGATAAGATAAATACCTGAAGCCTGATTTTATTTCATTACATTTCAACATTATTTTCATGACAATTCGGCATTGACCATGAAAAGTTTAATTATTACAACGTTACGCGTTCACAACAAGTAAACACCACCCTTCTTTGGTGTGCAAATATATCCAGATCACATTTCCCTCCCAAAAAGATAAAAAAAAATCAACAAGAAATTATGCATATGCATTAAGAAAAATGCCTGAAACCTAATTCAATTGTTTATATATGTATATATATATATATATATATATATATATATATATATATATATATATATATATATATATATATATATATATATATATATATATATATATATATATATATATATATATATATATATATATATATACCTTGCCTTGTGACTTTATTTTCATGACGATTAGGGATTGTCCACAAAATGTTTATTATTACAATGTTATGCTTTTGCATCAACCAAACACCACCCTTTTTTAGTGCCCAAATATATCCAGATCACATTTCCCCCAAATATCAACAAGTGATGATGCATATGCATTAGGAAATGCCTGAAACCGGATTTAATTATATTTTGCTTTATTTCATTGCTTTGCAACTTTATTTTCATGACAATTAATGATTGACTGCAAAAAATGTCATTCTTACAATGTTATGCATTTGCAACAACCAAACCTCACCCTTCCTCAGTGTCCAAAATATCCAGATCACCCCCCTGCCACAAAAAATCAACAAGAGATGATGCATATGCATTAAGAAAAATGCCTGAAACCTGATTTAATTGTGTTTTTCTGTATTGCATTGCTTTGTAACATTATTTTCATGACAATTAGGGATTAACTACAGACATTTTTTTAATTATTACAACGTTATGCATTTGCAACAACTAAACATCACCCTTCTTTAGTGTCCAAATATGTCCAGATCACATTTCCCTCCATTAAAAATCAACAAGTGATGATGCATATGCATTAAGAAAAATGCCTGAAACCTGATTTAATTATATTTTGCTTAATTTCATTGCTTTGCAACTTTATTTTCATAACAATTAGGGATTGACTGCAAAAAATGTCATTCTTACAATGTTATGCATTTGCAACAACCAAACCTCACCCTTCTTTAGTGTCCAAAAACATCCAGATCACCCCCTGCCACAAAAAATCAACAAGAGATGATGCATATGCATTAAGAAAAATGCCTGAAACCTGATTTAATTGTGTTTTTCTGTATTGCATTGCTTTGCAACATTATTTTCATGACAATCAGGCCTTGACTACAGAAATGTTCACTATTATAATGTTATGCATTTGCAACAACCAAACATCACCCATATTTAGTGTCCAAATATATCCAGATCACATTTCTCCTAAAAAAATCTACAATAAATAATGCATATGCATTAGGAAAAATGCCTGAAGCCTGATTTAATTGTATTGTTCCTTTATTGCATTGCATTGCAACATTGTTGCCATGACTATTAACTACTGACCCTCTCAAAATTAGCATTTTTGTAATGTGTAATTGTAATTATTTATTCTTTTTGATTCTCATGACAGTGTTTGCTACTGCAACATGGTCATTTGCACACTAATGCAATAATTTAAATGAAACCAGTGTTTAATGATTTTATTTAAATACTGTAAAACAGTTCTAAAAAAAACAACCATGATAAACGAGTACATCACAAATTCCATTTAATTTCACATTAGTGTAGTTAGATTACAGTAGAAGTGATTAATTGTCTTGAAAACAATATCGTAATGCCAAACATCTCGTGCTGGATTCAGATCACACACTAGTTTTCTTAGTTTAGCTGTGTCGGGTTGTGATTTTTAACTCAAGGCAAGAATCATGTCATTGCTTTCCTGACCAATCACTGCTTGTTCTCTTTAATGAGTGATGTCATTGTGATGAATGCAGGGCTATGGCTGTTTCATTGTGCTTGAAAGTGGAAAAGCTTCTGTTGATGCAAATTACAGATGGGACATAACCTAAATGAAAAATTCAATGAAAGCACTTCAGTTGCATTGTTGTGAAGCATCCCAGATGTTGCTCCAGACTACTATTCATGACTGATGCATGCTGGCAAAAATGCTGAAAGTTAAAGCTCTGACTGGCAGATTTAAACTCTTGATATCTGTCAACCACAAATATGAATCTCACAGAAGCTTGATTTTTTTAAAATACATTTTAGCTTTTTTTCAATCTTCTCTATCTCTATTCTATCGATTTTTTTACTCATTCACTGTAGTATATCTACAGTAGTCAACATTTGAAGTGGATGTTGAAATGTAACTGATGCATGCTTGCAAAAATGCTGAAAGTAAAAAAAAAAAAAAAGCTCTGATTGGCAGATTTTAACTCTTGATATCTGGCAACCACAGCTAAGGAATCTTGTTGAAGCTTGATTTTTGTTTAAGATTTTAGTTTTTTTAGTTTTAAATATATTTTAGCTTTTTTTTATCTATTCTATTTCTATTTTTTATCTCATTTACTGTAGTATATGTAGAGTAGTCAACACTTGAAGTGGATGTTAAAGTGTCATGGATGCATGCTTGAGAGTAAAAGCTCTGATTGGCAGATATAAACTTTTGATATCTGGCAACCACAAGTATGAATCTAATTGAAGCTTGATTTTTGTTTAAGTTTTGAGTTTTTTTTATTATTATTTTTAAATACATTTTAGCTTTTTTATCTCCTCTTTTTCATTCTTTTTTTAATCTCATTTACTGTAGTATATCTAGAGTAATCAACATTTGAAGTGGATGTTAAAGTGTCACTGATGCATGCTTGCAAAAATACTGAAAGTAAAAGCTCTGACTGGCAGATTTAAACTTCTGATATCTGGCAACCACGTGTGTGGTATTTCATAGAATCTTTAGTTTTGTTTGATATTTAAGATTTTTTTTTGTTTACTGTAGTATATCTACATTTGAAGTGGATGTTGAAGTGTCACGGATGCATGCTTGAGAGTAAAAGCTCTGATTGGCAGACTTAAACTTTTGATATCTGGCAACCACAAGCATGGAATTTTGTTTAAGATTTGAGTTTTGCATTTTTAAATACATTTGAGCTTTTTTTTATCTCCTCTTTTTTCATTATTTTTAAATCTCATTTACTGTAGTGTATCCAAAGCAGTCAACATTTAAAGTGCATGTTAAAGTGTCACTGATGTATGCTTGCAAAAATACTGAAAGTAAAAGCTCTGACTGACATATTCAAACTCTTGATATCTGGTCCCTGTTTCTAGATTTTCTGGATGAGACTTAACAGTTGTGCCTTTTGAGACTGCTCG